AACCGACCGCATCAACTAAAATCATCATCAACAAATAAAATAACAAAACAATGTCAGTAAAGTAATCAACGTTGACATGGTGACACCCAACAATAATCGTAAAAAGCGAAAGAACAAGACAACAATAGCAGTAACTATGCACAGGCAAACCTATGTAGATACATATAACATGAATATAATTTGATGACTTTGTAAATAAGTTAGTAATCAAAGTTTTATGAGTTGTGTCAACACATAATGCGAAAACATAAAACCAATAAATACACAACGATATATATATATATATACATATGCATATATATATATATATATATATATATAAAGATAGATAGAATCAGTCTGTTCAGTCAATCAGTAGTATAGCATACAAAGCAAGCAAAGCAATCGTTTTGTCAATCGTTCACATGTTCACAATAATAATTTATTCACCACATTTTAGTCAAAAGCATTTATTAACCAATTCCGATGACAGTAAAGAGTGTGAAAGCATAAAGCCGAATGGCCTAAAGGATTGAACGATAATAAAATGGTAGGCATAGGATGGGTTGCAGGAAGCTCATGTGGAATTTATTATGAAATTAAAAGTTTCCATACATGAAATCGCATGAAAGACCGTAAAAATGATACCATATATCTCTTGATAAGTGAACAGATTTTTTTAGCTCAACATTCAATAAAACTATCCTTGAAATATTCACTGGCGCAAAAATTGCCTTGGCTAACCACAGTCATTTTTAATTATGAAGAGAATTATGCTGGAAAATTTTACATGCTCTAGCTACCGAAATGAGAGAATGACGCTTACTTGCGTAAGCGTAAAGGGAAAGAAATGCAAATAGGGTTACAATTGGCAAGGATAAAAGTTAAGCTTAGTTTAACGGGATTCTCCATTCATCCATTTTGTGCCAATCACGATACATTTGTTGAAAGATATTTTCTTGATTGTAAGCGTTTTGCTAAGGGCGACACAGCGATCGCATCGATCTTTTAAGTGACCCTAGGAATAATTTGTTGCAGGCCTTAGAGTATTTAAGCAGTTAGAGAATCTTTTGCGAATGTAGCTACAGATCGATGTTCGTGCCTTGTTTTTCATATCCGATCTGTGGCCCTCGGCAAGGCATTTGTAATCTGAGTTGCAACGTTATGTCAGAATCGTTACGATACATAGCATATCGTACTAAGAGCAAATAAAAGGCGAATGAACAAAGAATTTATTGCTTTCCACTTTTAACCAAATCGGATATACATGCATATATTGTTTGCGGGAAAGGATAAATCTAGCATTGCTGTGTGGGGATACGAAGTCCATATTCGCTTTGGATATCTTTTATATCAGTTCAGGATGAGTTTTTCTTCAATTACTTTGCTAATTTCAAAATTATTTAATTTTTTATTTTTTAATCCTTGTAAACCGATTAAATTATTGATTGAGATTTTGACTAAATTTCTTTATGTTTTAACAAATTCCAGACGCAGGCGAACCGGATAAAGCTGATTAAGAGTAGATACAAAAGATATCGCGAATAAGAGAGAACGAAATAACAGTTACATGCAGTAGCCAATTCGGTCTAGACTATTTAGATATTCGGAGGCAAAGTAAAGCATAAAAAGCAAGGAGCTTCAGTTAAAAAATCAGTTTGTTAGTTAACTTTTACTTCAAATTAACATACTGAGCACTTCTGCTAAAGCGTTGTCGTAAATTTTATAATAGTTGGCAGTAATGAGCTTATTTTCTCCTATTTTTTCCAACTTTATATATAATTTTGTTTATTTACTTATTGTTACCACATATGTTGTTATAGAAATATAGAAAAAAAAACGGATTTAAAGACTGTCGGATAATTTAGATCATATGCTCGCCTGTATTGAAAACTGCACACCCCCTGAGATATGAACGCGCGACCATTGGTAGGTGAAAAAGAAGAAAGCTAGCGCTTTAAGGCTTTTTCTAAACTCCCCTACAAGTCCATTAGGGGGAACGCTTACTTAAACTGTATTTCAATTTACTCAGCTCTTCGTAAGTAAAAAATTCAATCTGAGTAATAGAAGCCAATATCACGCAAGCATCTGTGCAAAGAGAACGTGCAAGAGAAGACGTTAGTTCGCGTAAACGTACACTATGCGGTACGTATGATTGCTTTTTGGAAACTACGAATATTTCGCGGTCTTTGAGACGTGATAGATAATGAGCAATGGATTAATTTCGGCGATTATGTTGAATAATCACGGCGTAGCATTTGGCGCTCATTTGAGTAGAGTGTATTACAAGTCGCGTCAACTGAACGTTAAAATCATCGCCAGGGAAGGCAGCTGCCCACATTTAATACAATTGAGGCGAAAAGCAACCAAACCTCAGACTCTTACCTGTCTTCGTTTGGACATTTGTCCGAACAAGTTTTAATTAACCGTTGACAAGCCCAACAATACCATAATGCAAGTGAAATGTTGTTTTTATGGCAACATTGATCCGTAAAGGCCGACATTTCAAGAACGAATTTCTCAAGATTTGCTGAACGATATATTTTGCTGTTGGGCGAAAAGCAGAAAAGTTTTATGGATTTTCGTTGCGGAGATTTCTCGCTGCCTAACTGATCGAACTTTGATCAAACCAAACTTTAATCTACTCCCATGGCTGTATGTGGCGTACAAAAATCAGACACTGTTTCAACGTTAACCGATCAATTGCTTAAAGTCATAAACATTTCATATACGAAATCCAATTTCGTTATGCATACATGCAATATACGATATTTCCATGGCTACGTATGCTATGCTTATTAGTCGATTTAAAGCATTAAGGTATGTATATACGATCCAATCACATACATAATTTGATGTTGGCGATATAAATTGTGTATATTAAGATCTTCATCTCTCTATTATTCGGACTAAATATTACGTTTCCGCTTTCAAAGATAAACGGTTTGCGTGAATTGAAAGCATTTTACGCAAACTTGCATGATATCATAGCATTATTTGTACATTCGTTCAGTACAACGGATATGAACCAGTTGCACGAGGAGTGTGAACAAAACTTTTTTTAAATAAGTGATCATTTTCTTTCTTTGCTTTTTGTTTTCCTTTTAATGATCGACCAAGCAGATAGTTTACGGATGCAAGAAGTATTTATAAAATTAAAATAAGTTAAAGCATTGCAGACGGTTAAGCCCGAGGATGCCGCTACCATACATTACGGCACGTTTGAATTTTTCTAAGTAAATCGATATAACTCCATTCAATTCAAGTCGACATCAGTGAACCCGGGTCACTTCTCAGTGCGATAAACAATACCGGTAAGTGCGATCAATGTGTGGTTACAGTTATAGTAAATGCTCGGACAAAACACTTATCGATCCATCAGGCTGCGGCCTCTTTCTATTTCTCTCTCCTTCTGTGTTAAACAACGCCTGAGTGGCCCGTCCTATTCTCCTATTATCATCCTTAGACCAAAACAGGTCAAATAAACCTGCTCTGAAACGAATGGTGTAATCAAAAGCGGGCATATTTCAGCTCATACTGGCTGTTGCTTCCATTCGTCCAAGCTTCACGTAGTACCCTCCGTACCATAAGACCTATAGGGTACAATTAATAATAACCAATAGCAAGTAAGTCAATAATTTCCGGGATTAAATAAGAAAAGACAAAGTTTCCGTCAAGAGGAAGCATTCCGATGCCTTCTTATTAGAATGTAATAATCGGCAAATTGACACACACATGCACACATTTTAGGAATTCTTTCAACTTGTGTAAATAATTTTAATTTTTCATTTTTCAACATCAATCAAATTTTTAGTTCTCATTAGAGTTTCAATAATATATTTATAAACATCCGCTAAGTACCTGATAAAGGTCTTCGATTGAAATCGACTGAAGCTTCGAGTGTAGAAGAAAAAATTACAAGAAGAAAGACTCACACACAAGTAAAGATGTAGATTAGATCTTACATGAGATCTTGAGGAACTAGTTTTTATTTGTAAGATAAAATTTATGATGCTTGGATCGAAGATATATGTATATAGAATGTAATATTCTACAGTTGAGAGAAATTGAAGAAATTTTCTCTCTTCTTTGCCGAAATAACGTAAGGTAATTGCCTCAAGACAAAGAAGAGATCAGTAATTAAGTCCTACGAGAAGTAAGTTTTATTGGAATAAATACAAAGATTTGTTGCTTTCAAACTGAATAGTGGTCACTGAATAATGCAAAGTAGGACAACATGTTACTATTACGCCCATTATTCTATTCTATTGAAATTTTAGGTGATTGGACCTAAAGTAGACCCATGGAGCTCTTGCTTGGAATACGACTTTAGGTTTTATTTTATGCTTCGGAGGGCAAGCGACTAAGGAATTTTTTTTTATTTTTTATTATTGGTTTAATAGAACCTTTAAAGCTGATCTGAGGTCTTACCTGATGATTTCCAACATCTCTCACACTCTGAATGATGTCATTAGAGCGAATTTATGTTCATTTAAGAGAATTTGGAAACAAAACTGTATTAGTGTAAATTCTCTGGGATAACCAAGAAATTAAAAGTGTGTAGTGGTGAAGATTTTGACATTAATCGCTAGTTCTACGACGATAGGATTACAAACTTGTAAATTTACTTGTGTGTAAAATGTGCGATCCTATCTTTGGCGGATACTACGCTGTAGCATAAAGTCTGCGGGGAAGCCGAACGGAAATGAATACTTGTTCATGAACCGGAAACTATGCGATACCGGGATTGCAGATTAAATGGGACTAAAAGGCAGTTAAAGAAATATTGTATAAATAAAGAAATGTTATAAACATTTTTCGCGAAATATGACTTTCCAAAGCAATTTGCAGTGTAACACAATATTTAATAACTATTGTCAATAAGTACCTGATTGAATTCTTTTCCCTATGAAAATTTAAGCTTTTCATTCAAACACTCGTCGTTCATGCAAAAATCAATATTTTTAGAATTCACTACGCACTACGTTAACTGCAAATATGTTTGTTGTACATACTTGTTCTTTTTTTTTTACATTAAAATTTTCATGAGCTACTTTATGGGCCGTAAAAATCCCTTGCGCGAAAGAGAGCAGCGTTGTTATATTCTACTTGTGGTGCAAGTGTGTGTGCATTTTATGCGCATATACACAACGTCTAGAAGGAGTTGAGAAAGACCCAGCTCTTGTTACACCGATCGATTCAGATTCACTTTCTGAATCACATGTGATTTCCTTTGCTCATCTTGTGTCCGCCTGGTTTTCTTGTATTCAATGTACAGGCCGCAATTTGTGCGACAATTTGAAGAGACTTGGTACACGAACGCAGCTTCGAGTAGATCGGATCAGACCGCGTTTTCGACAATCACTTTCCATCCTACGCCTCCTTTTCAAAAACCTGTTACCTGAATACCCATACTACGATATAAGGAATTTAATGGCGGGCCTTGTCCCCTATGGTGCTCTTACCTGTTCAAAGACAATTTCTCGTAATTTGTACTTAGAAAAATACTCAAAAATGTTATTATTATTCTATTAACTTTCTTCCATTCAAAAAAAAAAAAAAAAAAAAAATGAAGTCACCTTTCTTAGGTTACTATACACTCAAAGACTTTTCACACAGAAATGTTTAGGTTTTTTAAAAAATTTTTTCAAATCTTCTAAGATAGTCTTTTTTAGTCTAATTGATAGACAAGCGAGCGCTTTTTTTTTTTGTTTTTGTAATGTATATTTCTTTAATTGCCGTAAAGCTAATCTAATTTAATCTGACTGTCAATCCCACTTACCTCTCTAAGATGTTACGCCACTTATTTTATAAGCGTTGATATTTCAACAGATTGTCTGCAAAGAAAAGAAGCAAAGAAGAGAGATTGCAGAAAATTTGTGTGATTGTAAAAATTGATATAAATTTTTTTTTTGTTTTTTATTTATTTATTTATTTATTTTATTCCTTTTTATAGAAAAAATTTATTCTGCGTTGCGTATGCACGCAGACGTATATCGATGTTTTGTTATCAGTAAACACTGAAGGCAGTGCATGAGGTATTTTTGATTCATTGAAAAATTTCAAATCTCTTCCATTCATTTTTTTTTTTTTTCGGGAATAGAAGCTAAAACGAGTTGCGTGCTATAGCAATAGCAAGCAATGTTTAATTTTGAAACATTCATTGTTAAATTAGAAATTCAAGAGAAAAATTCAGGACACATACACATATGCACATACAATTCCGTTATAAGTAAAGGCAATACGCATCAATAAATTGCAGGCATTTCCTCTAGTCTGTCCGTCCGTCCACAACATCCCTTGCCATCATCTGTTTGCTTTACTTGCTTTAACTTTGTTTTTTTTTTTTTTTTTTTTTTTTTTTTTTCTTTCTTTTGTTTATTCATGATAATCTTTTGATGACGATTAAATTTTAATGAAATCCATACGAAAGAGTGTATGAGGGAGAACGAGAGAAGGCTTAAAAAAAAATTTATACATATTCATGATGTTCATGTTCATTAAAAACCAACAACTACAACAGCAACAATTTGCACTCATCATTGATGAGTATATTCGATTTGTCAACCGAGGGAAATGCACTTCGGAGACTCGATATAGAAATCACTATTACTATAGAAAACCTCTTCTATTAATCAATTCATTTCTATGTAATCAACTTGGGCTATCATGAAAAATTTAATTTCATTCTTCATTCTTTGATCAATTTAAATAACATATCTCTTACGATGCTCTGTCCAGGCCGGAGTTCTTACACACAACGTCTTATCTATAGGATTTAAAAAGTTTAGAGAGTTATGCTTTATACTTCCAGGCCCTACGGCCAGAATAACAATGTTGAGTATTAAGGAGTTGTTGAAAAGTAGTTGCGAATTTTCCTTAAAATATCAGGGGATGCCTCGTAGGTCACCTGCAAAATTTGATTCCATTCTAGTAGTAAAAATAAAACAAAGCTTATCCTATAGCTCGTCCTTTTGACTCTTTTGCCACCCAACTCGATGAGTTATGTTTCAGATAAATTCATTAATTTTATATATATATATATATATATATATATATATATATATAGAAAGTTCAATTAATTATTTATGGTACCTGCAGAGGATATCATAAGATTCGACTTAAGCTGATTATACAGTTTCATGGGCTGCCTGCTATTTTCCTTATTTGCAACAAAGTGTTGAAGACCACTTGAACGCTACGCATGTACATGAAATACATGCTTGTCCATGTAAAACAATGGAGAGGCCGGAGTCGATCATTGAAAAAGTTTTCATTTCTGTGAAGTAAAAGTGTTTAAAAATGGTGTTTGTTTGCGTGTACATATGTACACGTGAGTATACTCATTGTATATATATATATATATATATATATATATATGTGTGTGCATATGTACGTCAGTCAGTCACCCTTGAAATTTTTCGTATCTTATTCAAGTGACAGTACAACAATAAACTCAGTTGATATTGTTGAATATCCTGCCGTCTGTCTGTTATATTTGTTATTGTTGTTGCTGTTTCTTTTTAAGCCCATTAAATCTATACTTCCTTAGTAGGGGGTACAAAGGCCTAGATGTATAAGCAGACACATATACCAATTTACTGAAACATTAGAAACAATGTTGATTTATGTTATTCTCACTGCTGCTGCTGCTGCTGCTGCTGCTGCTGTTCGACTACGGCTCCGGCTGCGGCTGCTGTTTTCCATTGCTGTTATTGTTTTCTGGTTAACAAGGTGGTGGTGCATGCATACGCTTTTCTTTTTGCGTTGCCATGTTAATAAATCCTTGTCATACAATCTGCTGTTGTCGTACAAAGCATATCACCAGAAGTAGACAAACAGATGATTTGACGAATACAGAATTGAACAAAGGAAGGACAAAACTATCAAAAAAAGGAAAAAAAGAAAAAAAAAAACATTTTTTGCTTTTTAATATTTTTTGGAATAATTTCTACAGTATCACTAGACATGCGGCCTATCCATGGCAAAGTACCGTAAAACGTGAAGAGTAAAACACTCACAGTTGGATATTGAATATTAAATGCAAACTTGAAAAAAGGATAACATTATACGACTGCGAATATGCATGTGCACACACATAGATACACTTTGGCCTTATGATTTTAAGCGAGAAATGTAACATTATCTCGAAATTGAATATATCTTCAATTTCCTTTAAACTGCGTGATGTCGGTCTTGCGTAAAGAAAATTTTAAAAATTGATTAAAAATCTGCAACTAACGGCAGCCAATGAAAGTTTAATTTCTTTCCATGTTTTGTTAAAAATAAAAAAAATCTATGGGTTTCACGTTTATTCTCTTTCTATCAATTTTTCTATTCTGTTGTACTGCATCCATCATTGGAAGATGATTTTGCTCTCCCCAAATGATTTATTAAAGAACATATGGTATATAATTGTGATTACCGTGACACCCTCATGTTCTATAACATTGTGTGAGGTTCCGCACCGACTCATCGATATCAACTTAAGTAGACAGACAAATCTAAAATTTCGTAAGTGGATATTGTCTGCCCGCTAATCGCGGAAGCGGTTCAAGTCAATTTATTTTCAATACTTAACGGGTGTTTTGGTCTGATTCTTAAAAAATTACGATGTTTTTGAAATAAAATATTTGACTTAAGACGATTTAATATTCACTTAGTAGCTTCTGTATTGATTTTAAACTAAGTTAACTGAGTATGATACGGCTTGAAGTTGAATAGGAAGGTATTATGGTGGGACACGTCTTGTTATTAAATACCATACCCTACTACGTTGCTTAATACGGGTACACATATAACTATATTTCGCCATAAGGCTTCATATGGGAAGCTATTGAATAAGTGGTTCGGTCCAAACTTTAGCAAAATATCTTAAAAGTTGCTGTATATAGGTTGAACACAAGAATGGGCAGACATCAGTTGGACAGACTGGCAGATACAGTAGCAGGTATTATTATCTACTGTGTCTATCTCAAGTGTTCTGGGTGCATGTAGCGAGTATGCGGGGTGATGTAGTGCATAAGAAAAGCTATCTCTATATTCAATATCGCGGATGCTGACTTATCCAATGAATTTAGGCAAATGACTCTCATCTGTAACTAAATTAGTTTGTAGGATGCCCATTGATCCATATTATATGCGAAGTGTACTAACATTCAAACGCAATGCGTTAAAATTTGATGCCATTCCGACAACTGGTTTACAAGTTCCAGTTGTTTAGGTTATAACGCAGGGGTGTAATGGATGAAACTCTCTCTGCATAAAACAACGATAATGAGTGGATCTACTATGACAATCCCAAGTGCAATATGTTATGGATTAGCCCCGAACAGACATCTATGTCAATACCGAAGTGGAACATTCATGGCCATAAAATGTTGCTGTATATATGGTGGGATCAGCAAGGCGTGGTGTAATGCGAGCTGTGGAAACCGATGAATGTTACTCCAGATGTCTACCGAGATTAATTGAACAAATTGAACTATGTAATGTTGCCAAAAAGGCCAACGCCTTCTGATTACCACTTGTTCAAATCGATGCCACATGGCGTCGCTGGGATGCGAGTTCGAAAGGCTGAAGAAATGCGAAAATGGGTCGATGCCAAACCAATATCGTTCCTTCGATACGGTTTTGCCAAGAAGATGGAACAAACTGGGAGATTGATTTTGATTAACATATATTGGACCAGTTTTTCTCAATAGTGAACAAATGAAGTAATGACGTAATAATAGCAGAAAAGCAATATAACTTTTCCCATTATAAGCCCATTTTCGGTGTACATAACTCAGGCTATTAAAAATTCGAAAAATTCGAAGAAATTGTGTACTTAATCTTTTTTCAAAACATGCTATCTATGCACAGTCCAAAGATATTATTTTCACATAAAATAGTTGCGGTTATCCAAAACTACGTAGTACCGTTTATCGCATCTCTTGGAAAGATTTTTAAAACATTTGCCCAATTTCATTAACTGTTAAATTGTCAACTGATTACTCTTCGAAATATAGATGTGGACGTGAAAAGAGAAGACTCAACCGTTCGAAGAAGACAATCGATAAAAAATTGTAAAATCTTGCACATTCACGGAAATATCGAAAAATCGATACCGTTAGCATGCATTCAATATGCGCTTACCATCAAATCTATTTAATGTCGATATGTACTTTTATGCTTTCAAATCATTTGATATAGTTAATGGGGATAAGAACGGCGAATGGCTGTAAAAAGAAACAAATAAATTTTTAAGCAATTATCGACGAAGCAACAAAAAGCAAAAAACCAATGCATTATGAATTATATTTATGTACAGCACGTTTTTTGAAATGCCCTCACGTATGAATTATTATACATACGTACATACATATATATATAAAACAATAAAATTCATTTCGAAAAAAGGGCATAAAAAACTTTTTTTTTTTTAAATAAATATATATAAAAAATAAAAAAAAAAAAAAAAAAAAAAAAATGAATAAAATGTACATGATTTCGTTTCGCGTTATTTTTTTTCTTTTTTTTTTTTTAACAATTTATACGTAACATGATTCATGCATGTAATTGAAAAGCGAATCAAATAGAAATCAAACAAATATATATAAAAAATTTGTTTAAAAACCAAATAAAAGTAAGAGAGGCACGGTTAACAAGCGATTCTGGTCGAATGCATTGATACTCATCATGTTTATCTCGTCGTTCGAGAAGGAAGGAAGGAAACGAATTTTATAGATATGATAAATGGGCGAAGAAGAGCAAGCATCCGATTTTTTATACATATTCAATAAGTCGCATACGGTGTGTGTTCAATAAATTTGGGTAATCAATTTTATGGTATGGA